CGCTTTCACAAGCTCCGCTGTAATTCCATCCTCGCCTGGGGCCTTGCCGTTTTTAAGGTGCTGGAGAGATTTTAAGATGTCGGATAAGACTCGCTCTTGGATCGTTACTCACACTTGCGTGTGGCTCCAACGATGACGTGTACAGCTGCCCATAGAACCCTGCCACACTCGGTTTTGAGCTTTGACAGTTGGCTCTATCTGGCAGACAGATCTCTGGCAAGGACTTTAGAGCCTTGGTTCCGCTCGATCGCTTCTTCAATACAAGCTGTATTGAAGTTGCGTAAGTCCCGCCGCATGCATTTGGAGATCTGTCTGTTCAGTTGCCTGTATGCTGTCAAATCTGTTGAAGAATGTAGCTTCATCTCCCGTCTAACAGCCATGAGATTGAAAGTGTGATCGGAGAGTTTTTGTGTTCTTTTGCGGCGGGTCTTGCAAAACTTAGCTCCGACCGCATGGACAGTTTCCACAAGCTTGTCATTCATATGCAAGCTGTATGATGTGTGTATAATATTATAGTTCCTGGGTAAACAAACTTTGCTCGGAATTAGAAAAATTAATAATTTTCTATAAAATTAATGTGTTTTGCACATACATTTGTAAGTAAAGTTAAACAAAACAATTATCTAAGTACCAAATTTCACCCCAATCTTACGTAGGGCCCGTTTCCGAGAAACCAGTTATGTACATTATAAAATATACATAAAATTTTTTAATCATTCATAAAATTATAATAATAATAATTAATAGTTTTGGTAGTGTATTACAAAGCAATGATTTTCTATTAAAAAATACGGTAATTAAACATTTTGCGAACAAAACTTTGAACTCGCGTTCAAAGAGTACGCAAGGTACTATAAAATGTACGTAACTCAGCACAATACCCTTTGGTAGTCCAGTCGTACCAGATGAATACATGATAAAATCTGTATCAGACTGCCCTTCCACTTCGACCCCTTGCAACTCTTCGAACTTCACATTCCTTGATATTATCGATTTCGGCGCTGCTGTCGCTAGTTTTTTTTAAAAGTAAAGCACCATCCAATCTTTCATCTCCAAATAATATTATATGTTTTATAAAGTTCAAAGTCTTGAAAGTGGTCTAATGTGCCTTATAACCTTGCATTGAACAGAAGAGGAACTTTGGTTTCGAAATGTTCATTACGTGTTTTAGTTCATCTGCAAAAAGATTACAATAAGATGTTAAGGTTAGTCACCGTAAGTACTGGCCGCAGTGACGAAAATTCGGTCTGGAGGACTTTTTTATATAAGAGGATACAAACAAGCACCTGAGCTCACCTGATATTAAATGAATAACGTCGCCCATGAACAACTGCAACACAATTTTGTACCACCTTCATTAGTGAACACTAGATCTTTCTGGTCTTACCAAAGTAGCACTTAGCGACGCCAAAGGGACGAAATGGCTTGATAAATTCTCTGGGATGAAACTCAGGACAATATTTTTAACAGATATAACGAGAGAGAACCTGCAGGGCTAACATGGGCAGGAGACATTTTATCCCCGGGGAAAGGACAAAATGTTTATCCCCTCGCTTAGTTTTATCCACCCGTCGAGCATGGGCACACCGGTGGATATAATATCCACAGTAAATAAAATGGAGATAGACTTATCCCTGCAATCATTGCCATTATAAGAAAATTCCAAAATACTTCAAAATTGATGTTTACTCTAAGTCACAAAATCATTATTTTTATCTCCTCCAAGCATCTGCAACATTCTTTTTATCTTTATGATTAACGTCTTTGAGTTTCAGATAGACAATTCGCTCTGGTAATTCCATTCCATTCCGACGATAAATTCTCTTGGTTCGAATAGCCACTCATTTTAAACAAAGAACTAAACATGCGCTCGTCGCGAAATCACAATGGCTACTAAACGCGCACCAACGTGTGATTGCGTCGCAAGCGTTTGACGCAAGCGCCCTTCGATGTGTTTCCAAAAACCGACACTAGACCGGATCGGAGACGCATCCACAAGCTCAAGGCTCCAGTACACGTTAGTCGAGCGCGCTTGGCGAGCCCGCTCGGCAGATTTTTGTGGTGCCGTTCACACGTTGGCGTGCTTCATTCTGCGTTGGTAGCTAGATGATGATGGACGTTAGTGATTGCGGCCTTATTTTTATGTTGCTCATTGTTACGGCCTACGGCTGCTCAATTCTTCAATCCTCCGGGGCCCATCAGCGGAGTTTCAACGAACAGACGTAGGTCGGGCCTCAATATGGCCGCGTGGAATTTCCTTTCACAATAAACTATATGGGAGAAACACATAGTACTTACCATTATCCGAAGCTAACTTCGCACCCAGGCTTGGGCAGGTCGTGAGTGTGTGTAATAGTGGATGGCGAGTAGTGTACAGTGAGGTGTAAATCTGCGACCTGAGCAAGCTTAGGCGACCAACAGCGGCCGAATTCCAGGGTGCCCCAAAATGCTGCATCGCTCCAGGAGGCTCGATCGCTGGACCATTTCTTTCTTCATTGTCACTAATTCAGTCTCTTAGTTTCATTGTACATTTAACTAACTTAAATTCGCCTAATTCCACATTCATCGTAGAATCGAACACGTGATACCCGACAGATTCAGCGTTAAACATAACTAAGTTCCTTCATTCGACACCAGAACAACACGTCGCGCAAGATTCAAAATACGCCTCGTTGACACGCGAATTAATCTAACTAGCTAACCAAAACACAAAAGGGGCATTAAACGCGACGACACAATTATAATGATATCTTGACAATTAACCGGGAGAAGCTCTCAAACTAGGAAAGCGCGGCTCGAATCCTAGACCGTATCTCTACTAGACGCGCGTACACTATTCCGCACTCTCGCCCGAGTTAAATATCGCACAATTCACATATCTACGTGACGAAGAAGCACGTACTTCATCTAGCTATCTAGATCCACGACGGGCCGTGAATTTTCAGCCTGACGGTCGCCCCGCCTCGTGGCTGGCGGGGCACTGACGTTTTGCCTACGCGTCGAGCGACAGACTGCCCACGCATCGAGAGACTGACTGCCCACGCGTCGAGCGACTGACTCCCCACCTCGGCGTCTCTCTCACCGGCATACCATCGGGTGAGGCGCCAGCTCGAACGCAATTGGGTGGCGTTAAACATGACCAAATTTGGGCATAAACACTCATGTTTGGAGTTCCATATAACTGATTCATTGTGATAAGAATCAATGAAAGTAAATATTTCCTCATTAGGCCATGTCGCCATGTTCGTGAAATAATTTTATTAAGCAGTAAAGCGTGCTATCTTAAGGTAGCAGTACACGTTGGCCGAACGCGCTCGCCGAGTGCGTTCGGCCAACATGTACTGGGCCGTTTTGTGTGTATTTGACGTTTGCGGCCAACACGGCGAGTGTTGGCCGCAAGCCGTATAGTGTCGGTTTTCCGTGCACAAATCAAAGAAATTTGGCGCAAGCCGCAAATAGCGATCACACTTTGGCCGTGTGTTCAGTTCATAGTTAAGCGTCGGAGTAGACTGTAGTGTCGGCTTAATAAAATTGTTTCACGAAAATAAATCTCATAAATCACTCTTTTCTGGTGCACATCTAAATAAAATTTGAAAAAGCTGTACAAGTACGTAAGTAAGTTGCAGCGGTCACGATCGTCCTAACGTCCATCATCATCTAGCTACCAATGCAGAATGAAAAACGCCAACGTGTGAACGGCACCACGAAAATCTAACAACGTGTACTGCAGCCTTTATACATGTGGACGTTTGCCAATCCTTGGCAAGCATGGAAAGACACCTTTATAGGTTAAAGCACAATTTTCGTTTTCGTCAAATAAAATTAACACGGAAAGGTGAAAAGTAAGTATACTATAACATAAAATGTTGTAAAGTAACTATTATTTTAAGAAAACGAAATGTAAACATTAAATTTTCCCTACAAATCTTTCTGTTTACAAATAATTGATACTATTTTATAACCTGTATTTATCGCCAATTATTTAACAATTCTTTTATTTATTCAGGTCAAGAAGCAACAAAACACAAATTAATATTATTATTAGGTACCCATATGTTGGTCTATTTTGTGTCGATTAACAACCACCTTGCCACTGGAGAGTTCACAGGCCCCTTAGGAGCTAAAAGGGTAGACTCCCAGGGACAAATTCTCAAGGAAATACTAAAAGAGTATGGGCCAGACAGATTGATCCATAACATATTACATTTTCGTGGTAAATTCTGTAAGTACACAAAGTTAAAATTATATACACTAATTTTGACGGCGAGAAAGTAGTAGATATTTAAATATTCTTTTATTTGCAGACTTGGCAAGATTTAAAAGGGGTACACGTACTGAGAATGCGACGGCAGCTCGTGGGCACAGCAAGACAGGAAATTCAGTAACAGTACCGACTGTGTCCAAAGTGGGCACAAAAGTTTTAAGCATTACTGGGTATGAGTCTTCTACCGGTATTCGGCCTGAAGAGTCTTCAATAGGCCAGGCAAATGTGTGTACTTATTTAGTTACAATATTTTGTCTTGGGTAACTTTGTCTTTGAATTGCATGAATGCTATAATTTCCTTCTTGATTAATATTGTTCTGCTACAATCAATATAAATTTGACCTTATCTTTCAGAGTATAGATGAAAGGCTCAAAGAGCGCAACAACCTTTTATGTGAACAAAATCAATTGCTTCGTGCACAAAATGCCCACCTAGGTCATAGAAATAAGCTCAAAAGAATGAAAAGGTAGTCATACAAATAAATTTTAGTTGTAGTATGTATTTATTAATCCTTGTCTTTTTTGTCGGGCAATCGTCAACTCTTCACATGTTGCATCTAAATTGTCCATTGGTTGTTCCATTGGAATTCTGCAATATACAAATTAAATCAATAATGTTTATCAAAAGTAAACAAACATTCCAATAATAATTATCTGTGTGATGATATAATCTATAATGTACATATATTTATAAAACACACCTATATAGCATAATATTGTATAGAGTTGTAAACGCTTATATTAATTGTGAAGCCTTCTCTGGACTGTAGTGAAGCGTGCTGTCAATGCCTAGGCTTCGGAATGTGCCTTTGAGATACCCATTCGTTCTTTCCACACAGATTCTCACTTGGCAATGCCCTTTGTTATATTTTTCTGCAGAACTATTTGGTGCAACTTCCAAATCTGGAGTCATCAGCCAGGGCTCTAAGGCATAGCCCGAGTCCCCTGTAAAATATTTGTTTCTTTTAATGTTGTATTATAATATAGATGTCAATTAATGCTCGTAATTGTCTTTTCAGATTTTCACAAAGATTTAAATTTTAAAGATAATTAAACACGAAAAATAAAAAAAAACAAATATTAATGGTGGTAAAGATTAATTATCTAATAAAACAAAGAATAAACAATTGTATGATAATGTGTCTTGTGTTTTTTAATGCTTAATATATAGCCTTTTAGATGGTTAACGAGATTTGCTAAAGAATTAACATATTTCTTAATACGAAATTTTGAACTGAAACTTTATAAGTTTGAAAATTTAATTTAAAACACTATACCTAAAAGGCAGTATTGACCAATTTTACTTTCATATAGACGTTTCATTTCCAATTTAACTTTTGAATTGTTAAATATAAAGTGATCGTGGACCCGCCCTGGATATCGTGCATTGATGTTAATGATGCGGCACTCAACATACACAACCTGTAAAATTTAGTCATAAAGTCTTAAGGTTAATGGGTTTCAGCAATCCGAAAGGTTGCAGGTTCTATAGCCCGCACGACAAAGACAACAATAAGACTATGGTCGTACCTTTTTCTAGGATATAGTAGTCATGAATATAACACTAATATTCTTTATTTAAAAAAAACATGATTATTAAGGTTTGTGAAAAACTAGAACTTGTTTATCATTACCAGTTGAACATTTATTGTGGACCGCCTTTTTCTGTTCTTGTACTGAACCCCAGTCGGGAATAGTGAGGGAAATATATCGACATGGGTGCAGTCAATAGCTCCAAGAATATCTGTCAAACCATGCTTCGCAAGGAATCCTGTGGCTACATTTTCCTTTCTTGTTCTACTCCCGGATATGATATCCATATTGGCATTAGTCTAAAATTAAAATGCAAGCCAGTGTATGCACTGAAACCTGTTCTATTTACCTACAAAAGAGGCTAATTAAAGTATATTGTCGCTTAAATTCTAACGATAGCTCCAGTAACTTGAGTCTAGTATTTGCAAACGGTTATTTGAGCAACAGTCATTCCATGGTCTTGACCCGTACCTCTCTGGTAACTACCATCTGCCAATTGTCTGATAGACGTGAGTACCTAGAAAAATATTCAATTAAGTTAGCCACATGTATTGATTGTAAATAAAATTGATTGTAAACAAGGTGATTGTAATAGATGCGTACTTTTATATGCACTGGTAGTCCATCCACAGCATTAATAGGCTTTAAAGCTTCATGGAGATCTGCACACAAATACATAACACATTTTTATGCATCCGCAAAAGGTGTATAAATTCGTTATCGAGGAATTCAAATGGATTACTCTGGTCACGTATCGATTGACGATGTAATTGTCTGTCTTGTTTTTCAATTTCTGACGCAAAAATTATGCTGAATTCGAGACATCTTTTTAATATCAATATAAACTTAAACCCACGTCCAATGAACAAGGATAAAATTGTCCCTTTCAAATGTCAAAAAAGCATAATTTTTTATCCTTCATTTGGCTTCATGGGGGATGTCTACTCGTTATGTCAAACGGGGATACACTTCTCCTTTCCCCCGTTGACGTGATTTGGCTTAGGGACAAGACAATTTTATCTCTTGTCAGTGGATATAATCGGGTAATAAAATTTTTGTCCCCAACCCATGCTAGCCGGGCTGTAGCAAAATTAAAAAAATTGTTTTTAATTAGTATTGAAAACATTTGTTGCATAAAAATTGTTCTATTTTATTATATTCTTACACCACGGCACGGCTAGGTATGTCCACTTCAAAATACTATCTGATGAAGTCCATTTTCTATCAGGTAAAAATTACTATTAAAAAGAAAGCCTGGACTGTAATAATGTTTGGCTACTTAAGCTCACAAAGAAACAGAAAACATACACACAGTCATACATACATATAAAAATACATACATGCGTATATATATAAACCCGGGAAACATGAACCTACTTTAGCAGTCGTTTAACTTTAATTACCCGACGGTAATAAAAGTTAAACTGTAACGTTAGCTCAAAGAGATTAGTATATCTCTTGCGCTGATGCTCTTTAAGCTAATGTAGAGTTAAAGGTTGAACTTTTTTATCTTAAGCTTCAAATGCAAATCAGCAAACGTAACAATGCAGCTACGTCAAAGGTGTGAAACATCGGGTACTGCGGTCGGTGATGGCAAGTGTGTTAGTTAAGGCCAATTACTGCAACGGGAGAGGCCCATGTCTAGCAGTGGACTTTTACGAGCTGATAATGAATAAAAAGAAATAAAGATAAAACTATAACCTTCCAATAATATTCTAATAACAGTGCACCAGTTTTCCGATCTTGACTTTTTTTATAGAAGAGGGGGCAAACGAGCATGCGGCTCACCTGATGGTAAGTGACTACCGCCGCCCATGAACAACCGCAACACCAGGGGAATCGCAGATGCGTTGCCGGCCTTTCAGAAAAGTGTAAAAGCTCTTTTCTTGAATGTCCCTAAGTCGTATCGGTCCGAGAAAATCGCCGGTGGTAAACAATTCCACGGAGAAGTTGTGCGAGGAAGAAAACTCCTAGTAAAACGCACAGTCGTGGACCGCGAAGCATCCAGATGGAGAGGATGGTATCGTGAATTTTGACGCGATGTGCGCTCGTGAAATTTGGCGGCTGAAATTAATCCAAACAATTCCTCAGAGCACTCCCCGTAGTAAATTCGATAGAAAATGCAAAGGGATGCAACATCCCTACGCAGTGCCAGTGCATTGAGCTGATCAAAAAGAACTCGGTTCTCGATGATTCGAACCGCTCTGCGCTGGATGCGGTCAAGTGAGAGGAGCTGGCACTAGGGTGCCCCGGCCCAGAGATGAGAACAGTATTCCATGTGAGGCCGAATCCGGGCTTTGTAAAGTTGCAAGCGATGTGCCGACATGAAATACTGTCTCGCTCTGCTGAGCACGCCAAGCTTTATAGAGGCCAATTTGGTTTTCACTTCCAAGTGACCACGAAACTGCATACTATTCGATATGTAGACGCTGAGGGTTGCGATGCTAGCTGGGGCAGCAAGGGGAGTGCCTTGAGACTGAGGAGATACGGCAAAGGGGTTCTTTTTAGAGGTAAACTCGCAAATTTGTGTCTTCTGGGGACTGAAATGGACTAGATTTAGTCGCCCCTAATCCAAGATTTTGTTCAGCAAAGACTCGACTTCAGACACAAGTTTGTCCCATTACTCGACGATGTTTTCCCGAGAAATATTGGCACGGCCGTTGCATAAAGCGTCATCGCTACGATGTACATCGATACTACAACGATAAACTACGACGTGGATGATATAAAACATCACCAGTGCTGTCGTCTGCATAGCAATGAATGTTACCAATTTGCAACATATCATTGATATGCAGGAGAAACAGCGTTGGTGATAGCACGCAGCCTTGTGGAACACCAGCGTTGATAGGCTTGAAATCAGAGCATGCACCGTCTACTACGACCTTGATGCTCCGATCAGCAAGAAAACTGGTGATCCATTTGCACAATTTCTCGGGAAGCCCATATGAAGGAAGCTTCGAAAGAAGCGCTTTGTGCCAGATCCGATCGAAGGCCTTCGCTATGTACAAACTAACGGCCAATCCCTTGGACTCTACTAACTCCGCCCATCTATGAGTCAGATAGACCAAAAGATCACCAGCTGATCAATCCTGACGAAAACCGTACTGGCGATCAGTAATCAGCTGGTGATCCTCGAGGTACCTCATGAGCTGGCAGTTTATAATGAATTTCATTATTTTGGAGAACAAGAAGGTGATGGCGATAGGCCTGTAGTTGGACGGGTCAGAACGGTAGTCTTTTGAAGAGATCGGATGGGCCAAAGCTGTCTTCCATGAATTCTGGACTACGCCTCGGGAGTAGGAGTACCGGAAAAGACGTTTAAAACCGGTGCCAACTCCAGAGCACACGTCTTCAGCACAATGGGAGGGACTCCATCAGGCCCACTTGACTTGCTGACGTCCAGGAAAAAGAGTGCTTTACGAACCAAGCGCTGTGTAAATCTCACATCCGGCATGGAGTACACACACCGCGGGATGGTCGGCGGCGTGTTCCCCCCGTCATATAGAGTCGAGTTGGACGTTAAGAGAGAGTTTAAAAGATTGGCTTTCTCTTTTGCGGCATGGGCCAGTGAGTCGTCCTCTTTGTGCAGAGATGGAAGAGATGGCTGACAGAAGTTCCCTTGGACAGCCTTGGCGAGAGACCAGAATGCACGGGTTCCCGAAGGAAGGAGAACTAGCTTCTCGCCAATTCTGCCGATGTGCTCAGACCTTGCCTTGGCAATGACACTTTTGAAGGAACTGGAGGCGAAATTATACTTATTATTAAGAGCGCTGGTGCTTACATCCTGAGATGTTAATGAGTCAGCCCAGGCCCGGTAGCACTCCTGCTTATAGCGTGATGCTATTTTACGGGAGCGACCAAACCAAGCCTGGGATCTGCCTCCGATGGGCACCACAGAGGATGGAATAAAAAGTTCAATACCCTGAATTACCACATCAGCAACAGAATCGGCAACAACGCTGGGATCTTCCGGCGAGAAGCAAAACCGCCTCCAAGGGCAGGATGCAAAAAAAGACCGCATCCCGTCCCAATCGGCCGACCTATAGTGCCAAACACGGCGGCAAGCTGCTATTATATTCCATTCTACTTTATTTCTCCGCAATCTCATTGAGGCAGAACCTACTCGGACGATTTGTCGACGATTCATGCCGCTTCTCACTGAATACAGTCAAGTGGAAGTAGCTGGCACGATATATCGATGCTGAGGATTTTTAAGTTGGCTTAGGACTACAAAGAGAGAGCACTGAAATTGAAGAGATATGAAAAAGGGGTTCTTTTTAGCGGTAAAAGCGCAATTTTTGGTTTTTTAGGGTTAAACTGGACTAGATTTAGTCACCCCCAGTCCAAAACTTTGTTAAACAAAGACTCGACTTTATTAGACAAAACTTAGTTCCGGGACGCGACTATGTGTTCCCGAGAAATATTAGCACGGCCGTTGCATTACGCGTCATCGCTACGATGTACATCAATACTACGACGATAAACTACGACGTGCATGCTCCGATTTGCGAGAAAACTGTTAACTCAATTGCATAATTTCTCGGGAAGCCCCATTAAAAGGGAAGCTTTGCTATGACCAAACAAACCGCCAAGGTGCCAATGTGTCGAGTAAACTAGAAAATGATGGTGAATTTGCAATTATATAAGAAAATGGTTGCAATACCCTCTGCAACCATTTTCTTATATAATTGCAAATTTATTATATAAAAATTACTTTTAATCTATCGTTTTAAATTTTTGCGGTATCACGGTACATGCGCTAACCACCATGCTGTTTAGTTAAATACGAAGACCAGGGCTGGAGGATCTAAAAAAACCGAAATTAATTTAAAAAAACTAATTGAATTAAAATAAATGAAGTACAATAAACTATTTCTAAGATTAAGTTACCCGGTTGAAGTTGAATACAGAGTCAGGATGAAAACGGTGACTCGAAGTCCGGTGGCTTGGTCACAATGGCGATGCATCTGCTGCGGCGTCAGCATTTCCGTCGTTTTGCAATACTTCCTTTCCGGTTTCGGTGACGGCGATCCTCATACGAGTAGAATACGTAATTATTTCGTGACGTCACTGTGCTATTTAAATTAGAGAATAAGATAGTTTTGGACGTTTAATAATAAGTTATCATCTTTATCATTGGTGTGTTGTGTCTGAATGAAATAATACGAGCATAAGAACGCCGGAGAAGTTAAGGATTTAAATGCCAACTTATTTAAATTTGAGAAATACTTGGTTAAAACTTGCAAGTGACCTGAAGACATTGTTTAAAAAACTTGACTATACT